CCTGGTAATTTAAGCCGAAAAATCTCACAATTTTGCCTAGAAAATGTAAATATTTATGGCAAATTGTAGATTTTTCGAATTGAATTACCAGGCGATCATAATCAGCAGCAGGTTGCTACCGAAAACCAAACGATCGTTGGTCGCCTTCTGGAATTCATGTTCGCCTGGTAATTCAAACCGAAAAATCTCACAATTTTGCCTGCAAAATGTAAGAAGTATTTATGGCAAATTGTAGATTTTTCGGATTGAATTACCAGGCGATCATAATCAGCAGCAGGTTGCAACCGAAAACCAAACGATCGTTGGTCGCCTTCTGGTATTCATGTTCGCCTGGTAATTCAAACCGAAAAATCTCACAATTTTGCCTGCAAAATGTAAGAAGTATTTATGGCAAATTGTAGATTTTTCGGATTGAATTACCAGGCGATCATAATCAGCAGCAGGTTGCTACCGAAAACCAAACGATCGTTGGTCGCCTTCTGGAGTTCATGTTCGCCTGGTAATTCAAACCGAAAAATCTTTCAAATTTGCCTCCAAAATGTAAATATTTATGGCAAATTGTAGATTTTTCGGATTGAATTACCAGGCGATCATAATCAGCAGCAGGTTGCTACCGAAAACCAAACGATCGTTGGTCACCTTCTGGAATTCATGTTCGCCTGGTAATTCAAACCGAAAAATCTTTCAAATTTGCCTCCAAAATGTAAATATTTATGGCAAATTGTAGATTTTTCGGATTGAATTACCAGGCGATCATAATCAGCAGCAGGTTGCTACCGAAATTTTTTGTAAGAATAACATCATAATTTTTTGCGAATGAATGCAATTCGATGCCAAATTTTATATCGAATTCAACGAAGTATGAAATTCCACAATCAGACCAATATTTTATCTGCTGTGAACAAAATACTGATAATTTAAATCAAAAAATCAGGATTAAAGAAATTTTTTTGAGAAAAATGTCAAAAATTCAACATTTCAAACCTTGAATGCAATTTGATGGCAAATTTTATACGGAATTCACTATGTACATCGCATTTCTGTAATGGGTAACATCATAATTTTTTGCGGAGTTGCTTTCTGATCTTGCTTAAGTTCGGACGTGTGTCTTAACGCGCAATTCGGTTTCGGTGTTTACTTTAAATTCTCTTTTTTCGTGTACCGTTAATCCCTTTAGCCAACGACAACTAAACAAAATTGAATTTTGCTGATATATCAACAACTGGCGGTTGTTGGCACCTGCCAGCTTTAAAATAAAAAAAAAGTTTTCCTACTCACTATTCTTTACGGTTCTGAGATTTGGGGAAGTTGTGCACATATTCATATTAAAAAATTGCAAACAACTCAAAATAAGATTTTAAAAATGATCCTTAATCTTCCCTTTTATTTTTCAACTTGTAAATTGCACGATAAAGCAAATATAAAGCCGATTGATGTTATCATCAAACGAAACAAAAATAAATTTAATTTCAAATTAACATCTATTATACACAATCAAGTGCGAGCAGATCCTTCACTCACTAGCACAAGTTAGTTTTATTGAAGTTTTGGCGAAGTTTAAATAAGTTTCTAAGTTCATCTGCTCAAGGTTTTTTGTACCACTTTTTCCTTGCTTTAAAATGTTGAATCAATAAATTGTAATATTAAATATAATTAAAATTTTTCAGTTGTAAAGATTCCTTAAAATGTAATCTCTGTAAAGTATTTTTAAGCTAGCTTTAATTAATTGACTAATGACTCAATCGAGGCAAATTGAATATTTGAAGGAAGCGGTCATTATTTTAGTAAAACATGCAGCAAACTTTAGCTTAGCTGAAGGTCATTGTCTAAATATTTGTTATTGAGTTTTTTTGTAATATCATCCCATAAATGTATTTGGTTGTCCAGAAAGCGCCAACCTTGAAAAGTTTGCATTTCTAAACTGTTTTATCTGTTGTGTTTTCATTCCTGCTCATTGACATTTGAAAGTTACTTGACTACCAATTTGAAAGTCCCATTAATATTTACCAGATCCTCAAATAATGATATCTGTAAACCAATGAAAATAAATTAAATTACGAACACTTATCCACCGAGGAAAATAATCCATGATCCGGTGAGGGATCACATTTGAAAAATGTCACATTTGATTGAGCCTGCTTAAATTCCCCGCGATTACGGTCATTACATTAATGGGATACCAACTTTCCTTCAGCTAACCATGCAACCTGTTCCATCCCCAAGTCGCATCCCGAATGATGTGCTTATTGTATATAATTTATTTGCAATAAGACAAACCATTTCAGTTATTCAGCTATTTTGAGCATTCAGACGCAACAAGTGCACTTGGCTATCGAGACGGGTTGAGTTGGTTTTAGCCATATTTGTCGACCCTCTGATTTGGCTTGACTCTAATCCAAAAAATTTCATCTATGCAGGCGGTGTGTGCTTTTTAAGTCATGCCAGTTTTGTTTTAACACGCGCCAGTTGGCCCACAAAAATGCAATGAAGCAGCTGCTGAAACTTTCCCTGCGGTGGCCCAACTAGTTCATATATCACTGGTGTGGTAATTAGACCACTAATTAAAGCCCAAATGCCAACACTTCTTGTCTCAAAAGCTGGGTGGGCACTTTCCTACTAGGCCGAACCGAAGCTGTACCAACAATGCCCAATTATGTCATGCTGTCAACTGTCATCAGGTGAATGAAAAATGATTATAAGCAGCTCAAGACGTCGGCTTAGTTTATTTCGATTGTGGTTATATCATACATTTTTAAATAAAGTTGGCGATCTTTCTACCCGAGTCTTTTAGAGGGTGTGATTTAGGTCGTTTACCCGACGTCTGCTAGTTTCTCGTTTGAGTTACGCACGAGCCCGTCATCATTGCACTAAGTATAACAGCAATATCTGAGTTCAGTCTAGGCTCAGTTACAGTTACAGTTAAAGTTTCAGTTACAAGCGCAATAACAATGGAATGTCTCTTACCAAATGCGGCGCTTTGTTGGCTTACACATCATCTAGTGCCACCCCACCAATACCCCACTTCACTTGCTCGTTTTAATAATCTTGAAAAACATCGTCTCATGTGTTGACATTTTTCATTTAAGACTGTATTTGGCCAAAGGCTTCGTGTTGTTTCCAAAAATAATGCCAAGCGGTCTGGGGGGTAAATAATAATAACAAAATGCGTGTAATAACCGAAAAATATTCACACAGTTTACACCTAAGCCATGGATTTCCTACCATTCCATGCTGCTTGATTCAAGGCATCTGCCTTGCATTTTTTGGCTTCTTATTATTTTGTGGCTTTTGCTTTTAGCCCAGTTTTTACGGTCGTGTGAGGTAATTTAAGACTTGGAAGACGTGGAATCACAGCAGGTATGACTATTCAATGTTTTGGTTATGAGTAAATGTGCCTCGGAGCAGTGATTGAAATTGAAAAAGCCGTTTAAATAAATTTCGCAGAGTTAAAAATAATTATATCGCTTCAACAGATTCATAAAAATTGATGGTCACATTTCTGTAGCCGTAAAAATAAGCAAATTTGGATGTTTGCCAATAACTACTTTCAAAATCTTCAAATGATTCGACTTCTTCCTTGCCAGTATATTTATTTTACACCAGCGTAGGATGGTTCTTCAAATTTTAGAGTATATATAAACGTAGGCAGCAGTATATGATATAAAATCGTTTTTAACGTTTTAAACAAAACGTTTCACCAAAATCATTGTGCGTCATTTTTGACTTTTTAGTCAGCCAAGCGTCTAATTTCCCCTGAAGTATTTTTTCTTGTCTGTTTTTTTCTTATGTCATTTTCATTACCTGATTTGCTTGGAATATAATTGTAATGCGTAAACTTCTTTGTTTGGTAATTAGAGAGCGAAACAAATGAATTCCGAATATGCTCTGTTTGACTTTCAAATTCTGTCATTAGTCGAGATGAGACAAACAAAACGTAATGACCCAGGGACGTCAAAGCTAAATTAAAAACCGATTCTCAGCACCGGTTTTAATTCATCGACCAACCCCCACACTTTGCATAATGCCGAAAACGGCACCGTCCAAATATTGGTTAGAGTTAGATGTTAGATCTATAAATCAATTAAGTTATTATCGAGGCGTTGAGCTTGTTTCATCTGTGGGAAATTTGCATTCGTCGGCACACGGAGTATTTCTTCCGCTTGTGGAAAGGCACTTGACTTGCAGTTCGCTCCTTGGACAAGTTGATAACTATTCGGCATGGTATTGTGTAAATTTGCCAGCGGCCATAAAACAATCAAATCCATTGGGTGAAAAGTGGATGAGAGACTTCGAGAGTGAGAAACTCTACAAGAAATGCAAATCCAAATGAATAAAGAAAACAAGCAAGGAGGTGAGGCATTTGGTGCTGAAATTCCAAACACCCTGCAGATTATCAAGCTTTTAGATATTGAATCCCTAGGATTTATGTAATATTAATTTGGGAACTCATTGCGGTATGATTTTAGATATTAACACATTAATTCGAACCTCCATCAGCATCATGATACATATTAAAAAATAAACTATCCCACAGGTTGTACTGTAGGACTTTAAAGAGTTATTAGTACTTCAACCAGCTTAGTGTATTCAAATGCCTTCTTTCAAATAGTGCCTATGTAGGGTACAGTGAAAAGCAACCAAGTTAATTCAAATGAAAGCAAGTCTGTGGGCTGGAACTGCAACCTGGACAGATTCGATGGCGACTCTGAGGAAAATGTTGCAACCAGCTCTCTCGGACGTCGCGTAATTGCGAAACGGCCCCGAGGACATTGGCGCTGCGGAGTTTCTTTGTTGGCTGGCGCTCAAATGAGTTTTTTTGCATATTGCAAATGCAAAATTTTTCTTAATTAAATCCGATCACTGGCGGCCAATCAGGAAGAGATTGGTGGCCGCGTGGTCGCTGGAAAAGCCAGACAACATTGAACTTGAATTGCTGGCCAAAGTGGCTGCGTAAAAGTTGTGCAACTTGTTGTTGGCCAGCTAAATCATTTGAGACATGATTGCAACACATCTGTGCGCCAGCTTTGCTTTTATTTTCGTTTTATTTAGCTGTACTTGGTTTGTAGATCCTGTTTTTGGTCAAGGCGCTGCGCGAAATTGGGTTAAATTACATTTTAACACTGAACAGTACGTGTTTCTTTCCGGTCAATTTGTTGTTTTATTATGTGTAAACCTTAGTTGAAAGGCTTAACCAACTGGATCTTCCACGCATTCGCCGACGGCCAAAAAGGAGTAAGCTGAATAAGAATAAAACTCAGTCTTAAAACAATCATTTCTAGTTTCCCAACTTTCAACTCACGCCTCTCATTTGTGCAAATATAGTTTCGCATCTCGCACTCGTTGCTAAAAGTTAAGTACTCCTCCTGAAAGATCTGCGCACAGACTGGTTCGTAGATAACCGGGCAATCCTTGGTGCAGCTGGGCTTGCAGATCTCCCGGCTGGTTTCAACTAGCTCGGATCTGCCACTGCTTTTTCGGGCGCACTGCTCCACCTTCAGCAGGCAATTGTTGTGAAAGACATAGCAACGTTCGTCTGCCATGGCCCAGGCCAACTCTTTCTCATCGGAGCATCTGTACTGCACACTGCACCGGAAGAGGCCGTCCTGGGCGTGGACCTGGGTGCATCCCACACAAAGGAGCGCGAAGGCCAAAGCCAAGGTCAAAGGCAGCTGGCTGCTTCCGTGCATCTCATCCGCTGATTAAAGTGTACAAACTGAGGTTCTCTGAATCACACTCGTGAATATTTATACGATTCCCACCAGTAACAGCCACATTAACCTGCATCGAATTGGCTGGCTTACTTGACCCCTTCGAGTTAAAATAGCACTGCGGGTCAAATTTGTGAAAATGAACATGCTTTCTTCTAAATTATACTTTGCTAAAGTACCATCATAAATTTTTGTTGTAAATATTGTACATGTTTTTTTTTTTGTGCACCATTTTTTTTTCCGACATGAGTACAGAAAATGTACTTATACTATCTCCATATTGAGGTTTTTTTTTAATTAAAAAGTCTTTTTTAACAAAAATGAAATATATTGAATGTTTACAGACCACCAAAGTGTTAAGAGAATATTTGTAGTTATTAATTGCTAACAAAATGAACTGCGGGTTAAACCAGCTTATTGTGTGACGCAGATCTGATATTTTTTATAGCCGGCAATTGAGATGCAAGATAATCAAAAGCTTTCTGATTTGTTAAATATTCTTGGAAACATTCACAAATATTATATATATTAAATCAACGTCGCACTGCAGTAGAAATGTTAATTATTGATTGCATTATTTTGTTCGTAGTTGTAAAAACAATGTAGAAATTAAAAAATAATTTCCACTAATGTGTTCCGCTTTTTATTTGGTCTTAATTATAGCGTTATGTAAAACACTCGATATAAATTTTATATGCATAAACTTCCGTTAGTTGAACACCGTTTAATTAGATTCACACTCTAGTTTGAGGACTTAAGGTTGCAAACGAAATCAATAAATAAAACATTCAGTTCTCGTGCATTATTAATACACATTATTCAGATTTGTCAAGTTCAAATTGATTTGGACTGTATAGGAAAAGTATATGTTTCAAGTATTCAACTCAAACGTGGCTTATATGCCAGACGGCCCTAATTACAGCGGGTTAAACATCCAAGTAGCAGCGCTCGGCGGTCGAAAGTGGCTCAAATAGATCAGGCTCCGCCGGCTTTCTACCCATTTGAACATCTTATTATGTCAATTATCCAATTGCTAATAAAGTCCACGTACGCTGCTGACCCGCAGTTTTGGATCAGTGGCGATCGGTGAAACGTAAACTGCAAACTGAGAAGCGAAACGAGAAATTCGCGTTAAAATCATTTCAGAGTCATTGACACAGACAAAGTCCGCCAACGTGTGGTTTTTTTGGCAAGCATTTTACTTTTTCCTTTCACGCCCCAAACTCAAACTCCCGCTCCTTTGCTGCTTTTTTCCTCTCCACACGGGAAGTGAAAAATCTTGTTTTCCACAGAAAATATATATGTGCAGCTGGGGTTGTCCAAAGCAAATTTACGGACCTTCAAATTGTGGGTCTGCAACTATTAGGCATCGCAGAAAGTTGACAAAACTTGCAAATGATGTAAACTGTAAACTGTTGGCGGCAATTAGTGAACTTGGGCCGAGTTTTGTTTTTTGGGCTGATGACTGTGATGAATGTAATTGGTTTTTGGCCATTAGCAAACCCAAGTTGCTGGGTTTTAGGAAGTTATTAGCATAATTGCTGCGGGAAGTGTGTGTTTTCTTTTCAGGGATGGTTCATTTCTTTCTCATCCACTGCCGTGTTATGCAGTTCGGAATATTTCGGACGAACTCTGCCCGCTCCAGGTATTTTTTACATGGATGCAGCACTTGGAATTCCGAAACATCTGCCCAATCTCCCACGAAGTCAGTGCCAGACAAATGCACACATTCCTTTCTGCTGCTCCCCCGATGGGAAATTGCATTTTCACTGCAAATGCCGCGCACTCGATGTGGAGCACGTTTACCTCAACTTTGGCCCACGGCTCCAACTATGAATCCGTATTCCCTCCGTCCGCACTCCCTACTCCGGCTTGTCGATCCCCCCAGGTTGGCGTCCAGTTTAGATATCCACTTGGCGCTGTAATGCACCGTCAGCGAATGCCGTCCATGTTGATGGCGATAATAATTTGTATGCCATTCCATCAATACCAGGCTTTCCATAGATTACTCTGTCGTTTCCACAGTGGCGCCGTCATTGTTGTGGCGCTATTAATTGATTTAAATCAATAATATAACATTGCGCTCAAGTCGACCATGGGAACAACTGTATTACTTTTATCAGTACAATTACAAAGTGGTCTTAAAAGTTTCAGTTGTTTTTTCCTTCCCTAAATGTGATTATGTTTTGATTTTTGATTGAAATGCTGCCCCTTATCATTATTGATTGTAATTAAATCGCGTAGTGCATGCCATGTCGTAAAGTGGAATGTAGTCTCCGGGTCCACTGTGCGGATTATCCGCGCAGCCTGGTGGACGTGGACGTGGACGTGGACGAATCCGCGGTGGAACCACCGCTTTGCGTACTTTCGTACTTTCGCTACGATACACAAATATACTTAAAACGCAACTTTGCGCACGTATTTGGGATTTCGGACGGTGTCGCATCCGATGCCGAGGCATTTAAACTTCATTTTCATATTGTCAACGGCAATTGATGGTCAAAGCCCCGCGTCGCCATGGTTGGCATTTCACAAGGCAATGCAATTCGGCACATTGCATTTTGAGGGGGAGCTGTTGGTGGATTCAGGGATTGCATAAGCTCTGCTATTTGGCAGGCTGACATAAAACAACATTTTTTTAGTGCGACACAACGACCTTGCTCCCGTTCAGTCACCCAATCCGCAAAAAATAAGACAAAAACTGGTTTCAATCGATTCTAACTAAGTTTCTGAGTGGTAAGACCGGGTAATTTAGAGATCTGAACTTACCAAATGCCAATGGCAAAAGCCAGTCGCTCGATCTTCCCTTGTGGATCCACATTTTATTCCTCTGATTGTCTCACACTTTCGATTATTTATTTACTGACCGTATTCCAGCTTGTCTTATTGCTTAGTAAAGCATATTTGTTAGACAACTGAAAGTATTCCACAGACGACGGTAAACAATTAAATTAATTGACTTGTCAGCGCTAAAAAGGAGATTAGCATAAACAGTGTTTTGAATATAGTTCTACGAAAGGGGCGTCACCTTCTATCTAATGAATGCATAAATTAGTTTGGTCCAAACCGGTGACAAAGAAAAGAATGCGTTTTGTTTTGAAAACACTTTAGTTACTTTTATTGTGTGATAACTTGAAAAGGTTGGGGAAACCGGACCAAGAAAGTATTAGGAAAGTTTTTCTTTTATTTTAGAGTGAAATCTTCAAGTTTCTGCTAAACCCCAATAAACATATATTGTATAGTTCAGTGAGCAATATTTTCAACAGCCTTCGATAAATGCTCAAGCTCATATTCTTTCACTCTCTTTGCTTAAACAAGAATTGGGACACAGATCCAGATACATTTGATAGGGTCATTTGTTGTCCGCGGTCACAATAAAGCTTGTTCTACTTCACTTTTCATAAGATTCACAATTTATTTTTTGTCATTTTACACCATATGCAAATTTTGCGTTAGAATTATAATTCAGTTGTTTTTTATCCCAACTTTCACATGTGAAATATTATTTAAACAGCCAACGGGTTTTTAATGATAACTAATATTGACAGTTCATAACCTAAGCGATTTATCTTTGGGGTTTTTGGCTGCTAAACTGCGAAACAAAAATGTTTTTATGATTTGTAAGCCGCCAAACGAACCGAAAAATGCTATGAAAAATTGATGCAAAACTCCGGAGCGCGCGAAATTTTTCTACACGCGCATGCGCGGCGTTCAAATTGAAACTAAACGAGGTTTGGCGGCTGCGCGTTTGTTTATTTGATCGGTGGCGCCGCACTGCTTGCACTGCTTGGCTTTCCGACCGGTTTCTCTTTTGGCCAAGTCAAAACACTCTTCTTCGAAGCAACTGCACTCTTTTTTGCTTCCCAGAGGTTTTTGTGACCACAAGTCGCGTGCTTGCGACCCACGATGATGGAGGGATTTTCAAGGGGGTTTTGGCTGATTATATTGCCGCAGGTCAGGTCTCAACTTTGCTTTGTTTATGCTGTTTTTCAGACTTGCCTTTAACTACCGTTTTCGCCGTCTTGCGGCTTGTAATGAAGCCATTAACGGACAATTACCGGGGTGACCATCTTATTATGTTCCAATTGATTCCGGCCTCGGGGCTCGAGCTGGTTCTATTTGGCTTCCCGTGTATATCATCCCTTTCCTTTCACCGGGCTGGCGGTCTGTCCTTTCACCTCTGCACTTTCCATCGCTCGCGAATCAACCACAAAATATGATCAGCTCATCCATCCCACATAATTATCAACAAAATTCAATTTCGGCAACCACGCGATCGAATTGAGTGTGCAGACTACACCAACTCAAAACTACACGTTTAGTTTTGGTCCCACATATTTATTTAATATATTATACATTAAAATCTCAAAATATTTGGACCTACTTTGTAAAATAATTACAATCGACTTAGATAAATAAATTGAATTAAATTTCGTACCCTTATTGAGCAGACATAGCGTATCTAAAGTATAAAAATATCAAACTTTTTTTATCTGTAATTTTATATATTTGCGAACCACTCCCATTGTGTTCAGCTGCTGCAAAATTTAATTAAGGTAAAGTTATAAATTATCTGATGAATTTATATGGCATTCACGCATTGCTTCGCCCATTGACTTTACTCACCCGCATCTATCAATCCAAAGATTAGTCGCCTTTCCATTTTATTTGTATCTTACGCTACTTTCCCAGCGTTTTCACAGGCAAAAGTTATTCAAGTTCCGAAAAATGCAGGCGAATTTAGTTAAAGTTTAATTGTTGAATAAATTGCAAAAAAATGAATAAATTATAAATTGCCTGTTCACCCATAAATATTTAATGAGCTCCAAAAGCCAATCGAATGAAAGTGCAATCATTAAATCGAATGATAAGTGTTTAAGGTCGAATTATATGGCTGATGGTCGGATGTGTAACTTTTGTGATTGTTTGTTGCGGCCTAAAGAAGTAAATAAAATTGTAGTAAATAATAAGAATGTATGAAAAGTCCTGCTTACTATGGAAATG